TCGAGGTGTATAYTTGCGCCGAGTTCTATTTTTGTGTTGAAATCTAAGGTTGAATAAACCGACGAGCAAGTTTTTGGCGCCGTTGCTGGGGATAGCATGCTGAAGTTTTTCTTTTTAAAAGTAAAGTTTATAAAGGTTAGTTTTTCTACCATCTTTTTGTGAACGTACCGTGTATGCCAAGGTTGTCGCACGGTGAATTTTTTCCACTTGATTCGGATATTGAGCAAACTTTCGGACAACGAAGAAGAGTGCAAAGAGAAGATATAATTAGAAATGAACCAAATATTCCATACGAGGATGAGGCTCAAAACATCTTTTGTCTTGCAAATGCTAAAAATGGTGGCATTATGGCATATGTTATTCCTAACTTAACTCAATTGCACACAAGAATACGTAAGCCTACCATTGGTGCCACCCATTTTTCACTTAAGCCACTGATGTTTCAAATGCTTCAAACAAACGGCCAGTACGCTGGTTTATCTTTTGAAGATCCTCATTCTCATCTGCATTCTTTTATGGAAATCACAAACTCTTTTCTCATCCCTGATGTTTCAGACGATGCTCTGAGACTAAAACTTTTTCCATTTTCACTAAGGRATCGAGCAAGAGCATGGTACAATTCTTTGCAACCAGACTCTGTGACTACATCTAATGAAATGGCAGAAAAGTTTTTGAAAAAGTATTTTCCACCCACGAGGAATGCCAAATCCAGGAATGAAATTTGTACTTTTAGACAACTGGATGATGAAGTAGTTCCTGATGCATGGAAAAGGTATAAAGAGCTGCTGAGAAAATGCCCTCACCATGGCATTTCGTACTGTATACAGCTAGAGACATTTTACAACGGTTTAAATGTCGTTGCTAGACAAATGCTTGATGCTACTACAGGCGGAGCTTTCACAGCTTGTACCTATATAGAAGGTTCTGACATACTTGAAAAGATTTCCAATAATAACGGACAATGGTCTGACCCACGTGCAATGCCACTGAAAAAACAACTGGAATAAATGAGGTAGATGTTGTCTCGGCATTAACAGCTCAGATCACTAAGCTAATTTCAAATCTAACATCTAGACCGCATGTGCAATCTGCTAATACCTTTAATTTCAATGTTCAGTCGGTGCAATGCGTGTACAGTGGTGAAGGTCATTCTTTTGAGCATTATCCTGGAAATCCTAAGCATGTAAGTTTTGTCAACAAGACTGGACCTTTTTCGCAGACTTATAATCTGGGATGGCGAAATCATCCAAATTTTTCGTGGCATAGTGCAGCTCTTAATCCACCAATGCAAAAACCTCAAGGACAGTCCAATTTTCAACCGCAAGACAGTCCAATTTTCAACAACAAGGCCAGTCTAATTTTCACTCACAAGCGCATCAAGGCAATCATAATAATCAACATGCTAATTTTCAGAATCATCAGTCTTCTTTCCAAAGCAAGCCCAAACAGCAAGCTGAATCATCTACTTCTTTGGAAGCAATTATGGAGGGTTTTATAACCCAAACTCAAGCTTCAATTAAAAATCTCGAAACTCAAATGGGACAAATGGCTTTGGAGATAAGAAAACGACCAGTATGTTCTCTACCTAGTGATACAGAGATACCTCAGAGGGAAGGAAAGGAGCATGTTAAGGTTGTTACTTTAAGGAGTGGAAATAGTTATTTAGAAAATACCCAAAAAGAACAAAAAGAACCAAACAAAGTAGAGATTGAAAAGAAAAGTGTAGAACAAGATTCTGTTACCTCTGTACCAGATTTTGTGACTACCATTCTTGTGAGTACTAGTGAGCCTTAACCCATAGTCAGGCCCATAGATAGTACAGCCATTCCTAAAAGATCAGATTTTCCACTGTTATTTCCTGATGAACCCAAGACAACACAGACTCCCAAAGAAAGTGTTGTAGTGGATGTGTCACAATCTGGTGACAGTTTCGCAATAAAAGACCAGACCAGTCCTATAATCCCTGATAGAACTGAATCAGAACCAATTTTGAGACCAGTTTTGAAATCGATTCCAGCACCAACTCTTCAAAAGACTACATCTCCGATTGCAGTCACTCCTTATATTCCTTATCCCTAAATATTAAGGAATCAAAATGAAGAATTACAATTTAAAAAGTTTCTTGATGTTTTTAAACAGTTGCACATAAAACATACCCTTGGTTGAAGCTATTGAGCAGATGCCAAGTTATGCAAAGTTTTTAAAGGACATTTTGAGTAAAAAGAAAAAGTTGACTGAATATGAGACTGTAGCTCTGACTGAAGGTTGCAGTGCTTTGTTGTCCAATAAAATCCCTCCTAAGATGAAAGATCCTGGAAGTTTTACAATCCCTTGTTTAATTGGAGGAAAAGAGATAGAAAAAGCTTTATGTGACTTAGCTGCTAGTATAAACCTGATGCCTTTATCTGTCTTCAATACCCTAAGCATAGGTGAAGCTAGACCTACAACTGTAACTCTTCAGTTAGCTGATAAGTCCATAGCCTATCCCAGAGGAAAGATTGAGGATGTCCTAGTTCAGGTTGATAAGTTTATTTTCCCAGCTGATTTTATCATCCTAGACTTTGAAGCCGACAAAGACATTCCCATCATTTTAGGGAGACCTTTCCTAGCTATTGGAAGAACATTGACAGATGTACAGAAGGGAGAATTAACTATGAGAGTCCAAGACCAACAAGTGACTTTTAATGTTTTTAATTCCCTTAGGTACCCGGAAGAAAGAGAAGAATGTTCTGCTTTGAGTCTGATAGAAACCTGGTGTCAAGAGAAAATTTTGGAAGAATCTTAGGTTTATCTGAGACTAATAGTGATGAAGAGGAAGATTTTGAGGAATTAGAAACACCACAAGAATCTGCTGCTTTTGAAGTTCTAGAAACTGAGAATAGGAAGATTCTTGTTCGTTCCTTAGAGGTTCCCCCAGATTTAGAGTTAAAACAAATTCCCTCACATTTGAAGTATGCCTTTTTAGGAGATTCAAGGAAGTTGTCAGTCATTATTTCATCATCATTAGAAGCTGACCAAGAAGAAAAGTTGGTTGACATGTTGAAACTTCATACCAAGGCCATAGGATGGACCATTGCTGACCTCAAGGGAATAAGTCCCACCATTTGTCAACATAAAATTATCTTAGATGACAAAAGTTTGACCTCCGTTGAGCCTCAAAGAAGGCTCAATCCTGTTATGAAAGAGGTTGTCAAAAAGGAGATTTTAAAATGGCTTAACGCTGGCATAATTTATCCTATTGCTAGTAGTACATGTGTCAGTCATGTGCAATGTGTACCCAAAAAGGGTGGAGTCACTGTTGTACCAAATGAGAAAAATGAACTTATACCTACTAGAACAGTAAGTGGTTAGAGGATATGTATGGACTATAGAAGGATTAATAAATCCACTCAAAAAAACCATTTTCCATTACCCTTCATAGACCAAATGTTAGATAGACTAGCAGTAAAAGAGTTTTATTGTTTCTCAGATGGCTACTCTGGTTACAATCAGATTGCCATAGCACTAGATGATCAGGAAAAGACTACTTTCACATGTCCATATGGAACTTTTGCTTTTAGAAGAA